GGCCGTCCATATCGCTGTGCAATTACCCGCGAGGAGTGCGGAGTAATTTTTATGTATGCTGCGCCCGTTCTTTCTACACTGACTCCAACTGCAACGCTTGGAATGCAGGTATGCTAGCCAAACGTCGATAATTACACTAGTAAGTCGAAAACGAACAAATAACCATTTTCCTAACAGTTCACCGGACACGAAATAAGCGACATATATTTACACCCTCATTTAAATGGAGGCTTCAAAGCACTTCTGCATAATCAGTGATGTACAAAACCAAGTCTTACAATTTACCACGTTAACATAGGAAACGCAAAGTGATCAGCTAGAAAATTTACATATAATAACTATCAATTTGTGATCATATGTGCATACAGAATTTGTTCAATGCAGAGCAGATTTCTGGTGAGTGGAAACAAAATGCGAGATCTATAGGCATATAGCTTGATTATATGCTCAATTCGTGAATTCGAGAGCATCTGATTGACTGAACCTTACACTAAGCGCATTTTGTTCATGCAGTGCTCCATCCGCCCTGTGGTTAAGAATCACTCTGACTTGATCGACCAATCTCTGTTCAAATGCTGTTGTTCCGAAACACATTTCCTTCCAGATGGTATTCATTCCCTGAAATAACTAGTGCTTCCTCGCTCGCCCTTGCGATAGCAAGTTGTGATTCATTTGTTTACTGCACCTCATTCGGCGTACTTCGGTGATTATTAAGAAGGGAGTCCGTGGGGATGTCTTTAAGACTTCCAAAACGTTCCTCTTCCGGAGGGTCAGTACTGCATTTTCCTATGGCCGTCAATATATGCGGGCAAAACGCTGCGATCCAAGGATGATAATTCTGGTTGGTGCAACAATCCCTGCATCGATGTGCATCACTGAATATACTGAAAGACACCCGAGTGAAGTGCTTGCTGCAAAACGTAAATCAAAAACAGTATGCTCTTTTGGAATCGTACCGAGAGGTATAAAATGCCCAAGCATCGTAATTATTTTGTAATTCGAATGGAACATATAGTTTCTTTTAGACAGTCCTTAGAAACGAAAACCGAGTCGCGCCTGACTTCAGTGAACATGATATCCAGATTGGTCTCTTACGTCTTATGTCATGATATACTTAATCTCGTCAACTTCGTTTATATCTACAAGTTCCTTATCGACACCTATGAGCTATTGCTGAGATTACGAATCAACGTAATTAGCGAGCACCCGGGTTGATTTATTCCATTATACTGTAATAAACTGAACGCCATTTCTGTAAACAAAATAAAATGCTTTCGCTAAAATTATAAGTTTCAAACGTTTTGAAAGATTTTGCGCGTCTGCGCGAGGCGATTTACTCAGAGTATCCTCACTACTACGACTCACCCGTTGTACTGAGCGCAAGTATCTCATTTCAAAGTTTGTATGACACAAGTGGCCGTAACTGTAGTCACTGCAGTCCAGTCGATTCATTTCTGATCACGCGCTTCAACGTTCTTTCGGGAACATGGGAACGGGTAGAGCGTGACATTTAGCCAACGGTTCATCCGTGCTACTTGTATATTTTTTCAGCTTCCATCACTGTTTCGTATCAAACTGTTGGAACGATTAATAAGGTTGCCCAACTATTTCACAAACTTTAAATTTGTGAGTATCAATATGTCGAATCCTCATGCAACAGCAGCCAACAGGAGTACAAAGTAACATTCCTTCACTTCACTTCACTTTGCATGACCGCTTCACTTTCCGAGTCACGGAGAAAGACGTGTCAGACAGTGATTTTAACGTTCCGGAATCTGAGTCTGTGCCAGAGTCTGAGCCACGGCAGAAAACAACCGGAGTCTAAATCAGACTCCTACCATACATTTGCAAGAGGTACTTCTTGGCTGTCTTTTGGGCCTTCTACCTGGCCAGTTGGGTAAGAAGCAGTTGCTTAGCTTTCCTTTCTGGAGGCATTCGCAACACACGCCAAAACCAGCGCAGCTGTTACTTTTCAATCTGAAGGAGCAGTGGTTGTGCACAAAAGCTCTCACGGATTTCTCTCTTTCGGACCATGTAGAGAAGTCCATCGACTCGTCTCGGTAACTTAATTTCAGCCGCTTGTACCCGGGTTTGAAGTTTTTCAGCCATGGTCTAAGACCCATGAACGTAGGTAAGCATGGAGATAAAGATCAACTTGAACACCGAGAGCTTAGTTTTCAGACTGATCTCTGCTTTAGTCATAGTGGATCGCGCTAATTCACGCAAAACGCCACTGGCTGCTCCAATCCGCAGGTCGATCTCTTCCTCAAATTTTCCACCATCAGTAAACGCGACTCTGAGGTACTTCAACTTCTCCACTTGCTGCATTGCTACCACGTTTATCCATAGAGAAAAACGGCCAGGAGAATGAGAAAGTTTTAAGTGTTTCCTTCTAGATGCGTTCACACGCATGCCGGTCACGTCGCACTCGGCTGCGAACCTTTCTAAGGAGCACTGGAG